ATATAGTTTAACATTATATTTAATCAATGCTATTTTTATAATTCTATAATTTTATAATACACAATATATAAATTGTATGTATAAAGTTTTAAATGCTATTAAAACTATTTTTGACATTATCAATCGGAAATGCTAGTACTGAACATGCAATGAGTATGCTACGAAGATTGAAAAACTATTTACGGTCAACCATGGTACAAAACCGTACGAGTGATTTAGCTTTACTCTGCATAGAGTATTACGATGCACTTAATCTTAATATGGATGAAATTATCGCGAGGATATCGATTGTCATAAAAATCAAAAAATAAAAGAATACATTTTTTTTAGTGTTGTTAACTCATTATTATAAAAGGAAAAACTTTTATTACATAAATATAAAAATACTAAAGTATTGTATTAAACATATATATAAACTTATTTTATGTGTATTATATTTATGACCAATTAGATGAAAAAAATAATTTATGAATTTGTGATTTTTCGGTTCTTGTGCATATCAAAACTTGTACTTACATAAAGATATCAGCACCTTGGCATTTAGTAAAAAAAATAGAGGCTAAAAAATATACTATTATGAGAGTCTATTTTTATCAGACACATGAACATTTTACACACATATTCGGAGGGCCTTATTATGGTTTTAAGCCCCTGCCCCTAGCCCTCCTAATGTGTCAATGAATAAAGGTTAAAATGTAGCAGTTATAGCTCCCTAGATCGGGGTTCCTCGTATCAGTTTGCCGACCAATATTTTACTCTTAAATCCGCCACTGATTTCAAGTTTTATTATAACTGATGGTAATTGTTTAAATCAAAATTAGTTATAAATAAATTATTTTATTTATTTTTTTATTTGTATGGCAAATATATAATCATATTATAAAAAAAATATACAAATCAAGAATAATACATATATATTATTTATATTAATAATATTAAGAATATTTAATAATACTTTATTATTGTTTTATGAGTATTCAACAAAATATATTTTTAGAAGGTTAGGTGAGATAAATATAATTTTTATTTTACTTGTGGTTGTGTAGCATAATATTCCATCAACACCGATGGAAATTCTGCTAAGTCTGTAGCACATCGTGTACCATTTACATGTTGGTAACGAGTTCGACCTAACATTGAATGTATAGCATGTCCAAACTCATGGAATAGATTTTCAACAGAGCCTGGATGCAAAAGTACTGGACCTTGATTTTTGTTCCACACAACATTCAACATAACTACTACAATTGGAATCTGGTAAAACATACATTTATATTCATATTACTTTGAGATACTTGTTAATTATAATTATTATTAGTTAAATATTTACTTGGTAAGATTTATCTGGTAATAATCGTCCTCCTCTAACTACATAATGTGAATCATTGTGCAACTTTCCTGGCCTCTCGAAGAAGTCACAGTATATATAGCCAAGTAAACCATCAGTATTATGAGTCACTAAATAAAAAAGTTAAATTTATAAAAAAAACATAAAATAAATATTAAACCTAAGTTAACCAGCCAATTTGTGAATTCGGTCAGCCCATCCTTCGCCTGGTTGTATATCTTCAAATATCAAATTAATATTGTATAAACTATTAAAAATCAGATTCAATCCTTCCATACAATTTCCCAAAGAAAAATATGATGCATAATCGATCATTGCATATTTAAGATGATCCTGTTTAATTTTGTTAGTCAAATATTGTATATCCCATGGAAATACGGTCTAAAAATTAAAACAATAATTTGTAAATTTTAGGGTATAGTAAACTAAATTTGATATATATACAAGACATTCAAAGTAAATATTAATATTAAAATGTATTAAATAATAAGAAGAAAATAAAATCAGCTTTTCTCTTAAAAAAAAAAAAAATATGTTAATTACATCATTGTTATTGGCTTTCTTCATTGTTTTATAATCAAAAACTGATCGAGTCCTCAACTCTGTGTTTAAAGTATCTAAAAATTCCATAACAAAATATGGGTCTTCTGCAATGCTATTTTTCAAAGCTCTAGAAAAAAAAAATGTAATAAAACATCAATTATTCATGTTAGTTCCAATTTTACCTATGAGCATAAGAAGGAAATCCACAAGTCAAAGCTAATTTATGACGACTTTCCAAGAGATTATCCAATAACTGTTCTGACTCTACATTTGAACTATTAAAAATCTTAAATGCTTCTTCTCTTATTACTGGATTTTCACAATGAGAACTAGGATGCCCAACTATTAATTTTCCTTCTATTGAGCTATATCTTATAAATTAAATTAAAAATAACAATTAGCCTGATCAATTACATATATATTTAATTTAAGAATATTATTACTCTTTTGAAAGAATGATTGACGATCCAGTTTGATCAACTACTCTAGGTTTCTCTGCAGCAATCATGAATCGTTGCCCAGTAACTAAGATAAAATTATTCAAGTCTACTACGTATTGTCTTTTTCTTTCTTCTAAATGTATACCATTTAATTCAAAATCAAACAAAAATAATTCACCAACATGAAGATCTTCTTGTGTCATAGGGTGTTTATCACCATTTATTATTGCTTGTTTTAAATTGTTATATAAATCTTTATGAGTATTTAATCTGTAATATAAATATAAGATATACTAACAAAAATTAAACTAGTAATTTTTTTAATTTTTACTTTTCTACAATAGTATTCATTGAAATACAGCAATCTTCTGCAGCAGTAATAAATGATTTATCTGGATGTGCTGTACGAATAAATTCAGCCATATCAGCAAGGCAACAAAGACTATTAGACAATTGGTCAAAAATAGTCACCAGATTCCTCTTTCTAATTTGTACAACAAAATTAAATTATATTTTAAATCACATTTAAAAAAGATCAAAATGGTTACCCAAATTTTATTCAATTAATTATAAACCAAATAAATCTATTGATGATACTGAATAACATGTATCAGATTATTGATTATTTTAAACTAGAAGTGTTCTAGTTAGAATAAATAATAGAATAGAATAAAATTACCGATTAGGATTGCATATTTCGTTAACAAGATTATCACATTCTATTTTTGTACGTTCTTTAAGAGCATAAAATCCTTCATATGAGATTAATTCTGGAGTACCAAAAAGGCCCTAAATAAGATGATTCAATAACTTTTGAGTAATTTCATACAATCATCATGGAGTTATTAGAAAATATTTACTTACAACTTGGTTTTTAGCAAAAAATCTGAATTTTTTCTCAGGTTCATTAAATACTTCTGACAACGGTTTAGGTAAGGTAACATTATACCTTTTCAAGTGTCGCACATCATAAATGGATTTACGTAGAATCATTTTGGATAATTTATCCATGACAAATTGAGTATTAATACTCAACAGTTATTACATTAATTAGTGAATACTTGAACATTGATCCTCATTTTTCTTGCATAACGAGGATAACATTTATACGCGGCTCAATAGGTACTCAATTACCATTGGTAGATAATAGTCAACTAGATAATAAATTTCATATTTAATATTTGTCAGCTCACTTCCTCAACGTGAAAAAATTTAAGATTTAAATAATTAAAAACGCATTAATTATTTATGAACCAATGCAAAAAAGATTTATTCAAAGATGATTAGTTGATAAAAGAGCACAGTTCTGGAACGGGTACAGGATACATTGATAAACTGATAAGACAAATTTTTTATTATCAAATATTTTAACGATAAAGGAAAAAAGCATTTTTTTTCGTTTCTACCATCATTTTTAATCATTTTCATACCCTAAAATTGTTTTAATATTTATACTATTTTATTTTAATTGTATCTCATTTTTATTTAATATAAGTATTAATACCCATACATCTGTATTTTTTTACATTCATAAATTAATATGTATATATAAATATTTTTAAATACTAAAATAGCTTAATACCTACATGTCGAACTCACAATCAGTATTTAACTTATGTCATGTAAATTACAAATCCACAAACAAAATGTTGACTTCAAAGAGGTAAATGTTGGATTTTATCATTAAAAGTTATATTAGCTATTGGTCTATGTGACAATTTTTATTTTAGTGAACTGAAAAAATTGTCGGAAGAAAGCTTAACGAGACAACCAGAAGAAGTGTTTGATATAATTTGTAAACTTGGAGAAGGGTATTATTGTTACTATTATTATTAAGTAATCGTTTATGATTAATATATATTTTTATAGATCATATGGAAGTGTATATAAAGCATTGCATAAAGAATCTGGACAAGTGCTTGCAATTAAGCAAGTGCCAGTCGACACTGATCTTCAAGAAATAATTAAAGAGATATCTATTATGCAACAATGTGATAGCCCCTATGTAGTTAAATACTATGGTTCATATTTTAAAAATACTGACTTATGGGTAGAATAAAATTATTTTAATTAATATTATTGTCGATTTCTTTAAATATTTGATAATTTATTTTTCTTTTATTTTTTAAAGATTGTTATGGAATATTGTGGTGCTGGATCAGTATCTGATATCATGAGATTACGGAAAAAGACATTATCTGAAGACGAAATTGCAACTATATTATCAGATACACTTAAAGGGTTGGAATACTTACACTTAAGGAGAAAAATACACAGAGATATAAAAGCTGGAAACATATTATTGAATTCTGAAGGACATGCTAAACTAGCTGATTTTGGAGTAGCTGGGCAATTGACTGTAAGTGTTATAACTAGAGCCCGAATTTATATGCATTTAAAAAGTGTCAAATATAATTCAAATATGCAATGAAAAAGTGGCTAAATATGCAATTATATGTATTATATTACACTTTATAAATTGTGTTTTTTTTTTTTTTTTTTTAAAAAAAACCACACTTATATACCAAATAAAATTCTAAATATTTTAGATCATTTGAAGTTACCTACTCTAAAAAAACTAATAGAAAACTTAAAAAAAAAACAAATCTTTTAAAATAACATTTTTGAAACTTTAAATATTTTAAACATTAATAATATAAAGTTTAAAACTTGTCAGAACAACACTTAAAATTAAAATATTAAAATAGGTTCTATTAATAATTTTCATAACAGTGAACAAATATAAGGTCACTTTTAACAGATTCCAAACTTAGCATATTAATACATTTTTGTATACTTACTACAGTTTTATCTTCTAATTTCTGTAAAATTATTTTAAGATCATTGAAATGGTCTGCATAAAAATTAACTGTTTCAATCCTAGTACAGATATTCCCTATGTGGTTAGTACTGGTTTCGGCGGTAAAGGCACACTGGGCATTATTTCTTTGTATATATCTACTCTCTGAGGTGATTCAAGAAAAACTTTTTTTAAATTACTAACCAAAGTATTTACATTGGCATACATTTCTCTAACTTTTTCTGCTAGACGCTGGTTCATGTGAACAAGACATGAAATGTATATAAAAAATATGTTTAGTGTTTTATAAGCTTTGATCATATATGGTGCTGCATCGAACATAAAAGTAATACTTTTTCATCATTTCCACCATGAGGCTACAATATTCTCAGGCTGTCATTTACAAAGCGAAATATTATCGAATGATAAGTTTTATCTAATTTTTTGCATGAAATTAAAAATGGTTTACTAGGATTTTGTTCGTTTAACACATCAACCAAAAGGTTGGCTATATAACTACATTGTACATTGTGTACGATTACAAAATTTACTGTAAATTAAAATAGTTAATCTATTAAATTTTATATGCATTTATGAACAAATATGCAATAACCCTTGATATATGCAAAATATGCAATATAAAATTAGGTGTTTGAATTCAGTGTGATATGAATCGTGGACATTTTAAACCTCCATAAACATGCTTACACTTAGTACAAACATGCAAATGCATATAAATCCGGGCTCTAGTAATAACCATATTATGCTATTAATGTTTCAAGTAATATAATTGTTATAATTAAGGATACAATGGCCAAAAGAAATACTGTAATAGGAACTCCTTTTTGGATGGCACCTGAAGTAATCCAAGAAATAGGATATGATTGCGTTGCTGATATGTGGAGCTTAGGTAAGTTTTATTATATTAAACAATGAACTATATTTTTAATGAATAAAAATAATATTTATTCTTATGTTGACTATATTCGAATAAATTATTATTTGTATTAGGAATAACTGCATTAGAAATGGCTGAAGGTAAACCTCCATATGGTGATATACATCCAATGCGTGCCATATTTATGATACCGACTAAGCCACCACCTTCATTCCGAGAACCAGACAAGTGGACACCAGAATTTATCGATTTTGTTAGTCAATGTTTAGTAAAAAATCCTGAAGAGCGAGCAACAGCTACAAAAATGTTAGAACATGAATTTATTGGTAAGAAAATAATTATTAGTCAAATAACATATATTATACTAGCTGAATTACCCGACTTTACCTGTGTGTAGTTTTTGCATTCTCTAAATGAAATTTTTAATTTATTTAATTTGATCAAATGCTAAACAGTAATAGTAACTGAACAATGAATAAAAAATAATAATTATAATAATAATAATATTTACAAATGATTCTATACCGAGTTACTCATTTCTTAAATTACTCAAATTAAAACCTCTTGGTATACCACATTCAGAGTTTTATTTTGTGTTATATGAATGTATAAATGATCAGGACTTCCTACTCTAGAAAATGCTACAATTGTCCATGTGAGAAACAAATATTTTCCATATCCACACTACATTAAGTTAAAGTCTGGCCCTGCGCTTTGTTTATTACAATTGTGAAAAAACTTTTATTTGAAACTGAACTCTTCTAAACTAAACTGGAAAATCTTTGTGGTATAATAGTAATTTCAGTAAAAATATTTTTTTCCCTTAGTTCATCGGATCAAAATTTCAGCTTCAATTGATAATTAAATTTTTTGTAAAAAAGGTGACCAGGAGCCTAAGCCTATAACATAACTTAGGAAAATTTAAAATTCTCATTATATAATTGAAACCATATCTAACTAACCTACCTTTAGTGATATTTTATGAGGGGATGTACCAGAATGTTTGTGCATTTCAGAAATCTATAAGAAAATATACTGATTATTCACTATCAACAACTGTATCAATAGTAAAGTTATGCATCACGCTTATAACTAAAATGTGGAATAAAATAAAATTGTGAATAATAGATTACTCGTTGGAGTATTTGAAACAACCTTGTGAAAAAAAAATGTTAAATTATTTAAATGGTACACTAAAAACCATAACATTTAACCCTCTTTCCCACCCCTCCGACCAAAAAAAAAAAATTAAAAATTGGCTGACGTGTTGATTCTTAGGAAGGCATTTGGAACAACTTTATGAAAAAAATTGGAAAAATGTTAAATAATGTAATCACAAAATTGGAACATAAAAAGACCTGTTTTTTTAGATATGTTTGCGGTCAGTTACTGCTAGTTTTAATTAAAAAATTTTTAAATTCTGATGTTATGGGTCACTAATGCTATAGCAGTAATTTACAAAACCAACGAAATCGGGCATTACAACTCATGTTGTATTATTTTTAATGGTATTACACGAAATTGGAAATAAGACTGACCCATTAAGTATACTAGTGATGGGTCGAAATGTTTGAATCTCGAACCGAACCGAACCCTTGATGTTTGGTTCGATTGGAAATTCGAACTCTGTATGAAAAAAATCAAGCATCTTTCACTGTTCGAAAATCGAATTTGAAAATATTTATCGAACCAGACTTACTGGCCACGATAGTTTGAAAACCAAATATTTGTACAATTCTTCAAAAGTTATTTTTGAAAAGTAAAAAATTGATAATGATTATTTAGAAATAATTAGACTATTGGCGATAGAAAGTGATAATCTGTAGCAAATACGTTATGCATTATTTATAATTAGGCTTAGGGACTTATAGCTCTAAAAAAATACACAAATATGCTTCTAAAATCATTAAAATATGCATTTATATGCATTAAAAAAAAAAAAAAAAAAAAAAAAATGACCAGATAGTACAAAAAATAAAACGTGTCCATCGGATTTAAATATATTTTTAAACTCCAAAACAAAATTTTGTAGTCGGCTACTCGTAAACAGTTGTAATTTCGGCATAACACTTTGTTACAAATTATCGCGTACGACGTTTGACGTATGATTCAACGTTGTGTGGTTGCGAGAAGCAAAAACAACGACGGATAATAATCGACTGAACTGAACACTAAACAAATAATTTATTATTCTATATCGACTATTATCTATCGACATCCGGTCAATATCCAGCGGATTGTACGGTCGATACGGGTTTATAGTATTATTTATACTTGCACAGAAATTGTAACGAGATATGAGAGGTAGTTTGCAGTTAGCATATTACTTAAAGTAATTTATTTATTTATTATTTTTTTTTTGATCGGTTAAAATATGTAAAGTTATATGTATCTATAGTTTTTAATTTTAAATAATAAAATTTGAGAAATTTGTCAAAATATGCAAAATAAGCATAATAATGTTAAAATAAGCACTCTCCTGCAAAATCTATCAAATATGCTAAAATATACACATTCAAATTTTAGATCTGATATCATGGCACCGAAAAACGAATTTATTTCGCACTCTGCTATATTTAACAATAATTAAAAAAAAGTATGCAAATGATAGAAGTCCCTAAGCCTATTTATAACAATAATGCTATTATAATAATAATAATGTTATTTTTCCAGTCGCCTGTTACACATCCACCCTCCGCCAAACAAAACATTAATAAGTTGTTAATTGCCAATAGAGACAGTGTATCTACATTCATATTATAGCTATTTTTGTTTTTATCATATTTATTGTAGAGCTTAAAATCTATTTTGGCTAAATCCATGGTAATATTCCGATACCGCGACTGCTCTGTTAATAAAAATATGTTTATAACTTACGTCTTGTATTATAAATTTTACTAATCATTCTATATTTGTGAATTATAGTTATTATTACTATTTTTTATGTATTATTAAAATGTACTGATTTTATTGTCATATTATACTACAATACTCAATACTCAAATAATATTTTATAAGCTACAAGACAACACGAGAGAGCACAATACTGGCTTGGAAAAATAATAATAATAATAATAATAAAAAATTTTCTAAAATGTAAATGTATTGTAAATAATACAATTACTTAGACTTAAAAGTTAAAATGTAGAATAGGTAATACGAAAACTTAAAATACAATAGTAATTAATAATTATGATTAATTTAATTTGTAGGTAGGTACAATGTACATGATAAAAAGTATTGAGTTCGAGTTCAAGTTCGACTTAAAATCATAATAGGTTCGGTTCGGTTCGGTAGAAAATATGAAGGTTCGGTTTAGTTCGAGTTTGAAAAAATAATTTCAAGTTCGGTTCGATTTAAAAAATCAGAGTTCGACCCATCACTAACGTATACTCATACATTTAGGCAGTAATAATATCACACAATAATATTATTCCAAACATAACATGTTTTATTTTTTTACTATCTGGTGGTGTAAGTAATTTTCTGAGGTTACATGAATAATATAAAAAATAAGGTATCGATGAATGTGTTAAATAAGTATAATAAAAATGATTATTCCTGATTATACTTTAATTGATTATTTTTTTGAATTTTTCGGAACTTGTAATGTGTTGTTTTTAAATAGGAAATCCTAAGCCTCCTGAAATTTTAAGTAAGATGATTGCTGAAGCAAGAGAAATTCGAGAAAATCAAACTTACCGCTCTAACGCATTATCATATGTAGTGACATCAGCTGAATCAAGGGATATGCATTTTAAAGTAATTAACTTGTTATATATATATATATACACCAGTAAAAATGTTTAATATAATGCATCTATTATTTGCCTTAGGGTGATGATATTGACAGTCGCACAATGATAGTAGATGATAGTACTCTTGTACCAGATAAATCAAAAGGGACAAGTTTCAAAAATTATTCGTTTGTTGAAGAATTGCGTACAATGGTAATTAATAGTGATGGAGAAGATGATTCTACCATGAAAAGTATGTACATTAAATAATTTATAAGCTGACTGAAATAATTTATTTTTAATTCATTGCATTTCAGGACATGATACAGGTCCAGAAGAATCGGGTAAAAAGTATAGACCATTATTCTTAGATCATTTTGATAAAAAAATTGCAGAAAAATCAAAAGTAATTATTGTTATATAAAACATATTAATACAATTTTTCAATATTAAATATTATTCATATTTTATTTATTTTAGAATGATAATTTTGGTCTGGAAAATAAATTATTTGGTGATAGACCTATTTCTACTCAAGAAGTCACTCATGTAAAAAATTAATATAATACATTAAGTTGTTAATATGTAGTGTAACTATGGTTTTTAAATCATTTTTTTGGTTTAGATTGATCAGTATGAGAAAAATATTACTTCACATCAATTTCCTATGCCACAAATAAACAACAGGCCTGAGGGACCAATTTCAGCAGTTCCTCATCAAAATCGATACTACTCGCCAATAGTAGAAGGAGACTTTGAATTTGTAAGTTTTATATTAATAATATAAATGTATAAGAAAATATATTCTACCAATTATATATATATATATATATATATATATTCAATGGAAATAATATAAACGTACCTTTTTCATATAGAACAGTATATTATTATTTTACAATATATAAAACCATAAAATCATATAAGATATAATATTAATAAAAACTACATTCCATACTTGAAAAGTAAATTCACCTGTGACAAGAGCCATTTAAAATTATCAATCATATTTTGAAATGCAAACCGATCTACCTGACCTCTTTCATTTCATCAATAGTACTTTGGTTTCAATTTTAAAAGATCAACACAGCACAACCATTTACTCATCCCTGTATTTTATATGACCTAAGACTCTTGCCCTATTTATTATGAAAATGAATAAAGTAGTAGAAAATATTTTAAGATTTTCTGTTACTAACCCATAAATCCAAACTTTTTTTTTATTAACTAATACTATTTTTTAATTTTTTATTTAGTTAAAGTTTTTAAGTTTTGATGACTTGCAACAACGAATGTCCAATTTGGATTCTGAAATGGAGCGTGAAATAGATGAACTAAGATGCCGTTATCAAACAAAGCGCCAACCAATATTAGATGCTATGGATCAAAAACGTAAAAGACAACAAAACTTTTGAAAAATTTAAAATTTTAGTTACAAATTAATTAATGGCTAACTATTAATATCCCTTAGTTTTGGTGCTATACTGAAATGTAAATGTGTGTTTCTTAGACAGATATTTTTAATGAGCCCAATTTCCCAAATTCTTTTTAAAACGTAATATAATTGATATATTTGTGCATACATTTTATCATTTTAATAGCTTTAAAAAAATATCTAAGTCATATATTCTATTTAAGATATAATTATTGGTAAATTTATTTTAATTGTCTGATAAAATCAAATGGTTATAACTTTGTAATATAGCTAGTATAAAAATCACATACATTTTTCTAACATTTTCCAAATTTATTTTTAATCTCAATCATAACATATTTTTCATTATTAATAGTCAAACAAGACATAATGATATAAACTACTAACAATTTTTTGAATGATTATTAAACATGAAGTTTTTTTTCAATCAACAATGTTGTCTTCCTAAATTTTTTTATTTTCAAACTTAAATATAAAAAATAGATCATATTATTATTTTAAGAATTAGTAATATTTGATATTATATCTTAATCTGTATAAAGTTTGTTCTACTAAATAATACTTTATATTTTTAACCTTAATAGTTTTGTTTTCTAAAAGTTAAATAATACAATTAATTTTATTGTAGCAAAAACTAAACTTTAGTCTAAAACAATAAAGCTATTTAGTGATCATATTTTAAATGTTTGAAGCCCATACATATACAAATGAAAATTATAGATTATGCTGTATATTTTTTTAACATTTTTTATTCTTTTACAATTAAACAATTTTTGTGAATAGTATTTTAAACTCGTTAAATTAAATAATGAAAATGACTGCACAAATCAAATTAATTATATTTTAATTACTAAAAGTATTTAGTTGTAATAATTTACAAATAATTTACTAAAATAGTCAAAATGTAGAAAGGACAGGGTGAGAAAAGTTGTAACCATAATCGAGATTAAAAGACTGGTTATTACTTATTTTTTGGTGGTTTGTTTTTTCAGTCTGTTTCTTTAAATTTATAATTATTGTATTATATAAGTACTAACTATTGCTATGTTATTGTACAAAAAGACTGACTGAAAATTGAAATCATTGGATCTATAAAATTTATATTTACACGTAAAACCAATAACATGTTAATATTCCTGAAGTTCTTTATATACTTCTTCAAAAACTAAACCATTATGGTTAAAATCCATAAAAATCTTAATAAATTCATAACTAACATTTTATGTGTTTATTGTTATTTTTATGTTAAGTCCTTTCATAAAAATTGTAATTAAAAAAAAATAAAGTGAGTTCAATTAAATTAAACCTGGTTAACAAGGCTGTTATTCAATAAAAAAAAGAAAAAAATGTATTTTAGAAATAAGTATAATATTACAAAGTGAAAAATTTATTGCCAATAAACTTATTGTTTCATCGCGTACAATTTTTATCTTGCATCAATCACTACTTTTGATTAAAGTATAACTGATCAATTTAATAATTTTTTCATTTTATTTTGTAGACTGTCACTTATACAAGTAATTAAATAAGAGAATTTAAAAAATTTACTCATACATAATTGTGCTGTTCTGTATTTCATATAAAATATTTTATTATTATTATGTTAAAAATGTAATATATTTTTATTTTATGAACAATTTTAAATTAAATCTATGTATTATAAATAATTTTCACTCATTCTTTCCGCGTTCTTAGACACTTACTAATAATATATTTGGTTCTCTATGACAGAGGCGGCCAAACTTTTTTCGGCCACGATCAACTGAAAATATACTTCACCTTTGAAGATCGACTTTCTTAGAAAATTTTTTTATAAACCAGAATAAAAGATAAAAACCTTACAGGTAAAACTTATCAACAATTTGTTCATAATCACCATGATTAATTTTTGTGCATGTGGCCTAAAAATAAATTCTAACATGATCGACTCTAAAATTGTCTACGATTGACTGTTTGGCTGCCCCTGCTCTATGATTATCATGCTATTTATTATTTAATATGAAATTGAAAATATAATATCTTACTTAAATATGTTAGTTTATAAATATAGTTGTATAACAATTTAATTCTTTGATGTTAAAGATATTTAAATAGATTCAATTTATGAGAGCTCAAGTTTAAATTCAATTTTGTGTATATTTATTCATTAATCATTATTATTAATATGAATTATACATACACATATGCATATATGCAGTGGACTCTCAACCATTTGACAAATATCATACTAGAGGGTTATCAAATTAAAGAAAATGTGAATTAATAGAGTTCCACGTAAAAAAGCATTTTTACTTATTGAAAAATCTTAATTTATGACATGCCATAAATTAATCTTATAGATTAAAAAAAAATTTTTTTTGATTTTTGTTTGAAATTATGCTTTTAAAATAATACTGCCGGTTTACTGGACATAGTGGATTATCGAACAGCTGGATTACCAAGAGTCTACTTTATATATATTAATCAACTGTAATAACTTGTGATGTATTTTTATGTTTAACATATAATTTAATTACCTACCTGTATTGAATTAGTTTTAGTCTTCACAATATAATATATTAACAACTGTTATTTTTAAAGTTAAGTTTCGAACTAGTCTTATGAACTATATTATTCTATTATAAAAATTTGTTGACAAACCTAGATTAATATAAATGAAGACTATTTGGTTTAAGTTGTTGAAGTATTATCACCTCATGAATTTCTTTAATGTTTTCAAAAAAATTTAATGTCTTAGTGTCCTGATTACATTTGAACACTTTTATTTATCATTTTAAAATACTGTTCATGCACAAAAAGAACAGAAAAAAAATTGTCATGTAATAATTTAAATTTTATTTGAGTATGATGTTACCATATTAGCTGAAGTTGGCCACTTTATTCAATAGCTAATGATTTTTTTTACTGGCACTTATCCAGAACTTATTTACTAATGGATAACCGCTCTTTACTTTGGATTTTTATTTTTAAACATATGTTGAATTAATCTCAGATCCATGGGGGGGTCCTGACCATCAAATCATGAGTTTAAGGTAATACGACTTAAAGATGTAAATTATTTCTTGGTCCATAGGTTAACAAATTTTATTACCTAGTTTTATATGTCATCTTACGGGTATTGACAATACAATGTAACCATTAATTAAACAATTTGCCAGCCATCATTGAAGCTACTAGCAGCACTCATTTTTTTTGCTCACTGTTGAGTATTTGTAAGTTAATGAGAATTCTTGTACCTACCTAATTTCTTATTGTTTTTTATATAATTTTTTATAATGTAATTTTTACATATATTATAACATTTTAGTCATTAACTACTTTTTTCCTTAAAATAAATTCAACTATGTATTACTTTAATGTGAGTAGTAAATCCACCAAACGTTGGAGATTTTTAGAGGATGTTGAAACCACTAATTTTATTAAGAGATAATCAACAATCTCAAATTATACCTCAGCCGAATACATCCCAAGTTACTGATTTTAATGTAACTGTAGATGTTCAAAAATTATCAATTCATATAGATAGTAATTTCCCTAATTTTGAGAGTACTATTGCATCTAACTATTTTACAATTCCAATAAATAATTTTTCGAATTCTGATGAGAGATGTTTAATAATATATTTAGCTTTGATTCTGATAATACTTCAATTCCAAATATCACTAATATTGTAAATGATAATAACTCAGTTTTACATTTATTAGCTAAGAGAACTGTAGATTATATTATAACATTAAATGCTCTTTCATCATTATTTAAGGTTCTGAAGGTCCATAGATGTTTTAATCTCATATCTGTAGATGGTAGGACTTAATAAGAGTAAGTAAATGTTGCAAGATTAACAAAATTGTGTCGGTTAATCCAGGATTTTACTATCACTTTGGAATCATTTTTGGTTATTTTGGTGGAGATAAAAACCGCATAGTGGTAACTTGTTTTTAAAAAATTTGGTCGATGAACTAAAATATTTATCCGAGTTTGGTATGGAGACTAATTTTGGAAAAAAATTGTTATTGCTCATTCGTTTCGTTGTGATGCCCCTGCCAAAAGTTTTATATTATACATAAAAGGTTATATTGGATACTATTTATGTTCAAGATGTACCATTGAAGGGGAACGATATAGATTTAGAAAAAAGCGAATGACAGAATATCAAGAGAAGTTTTAAAGTGGGCAATAATGAGAAAGGAGGTCCCAAAAAAATATATAAATTTGATTCAGGATATGTATGAAGGTTTAAGATCTAATGTAAAGAGTTTATGTAGAGCAACAGAAGGTTTTAACGTAAAATTTGGTGTGCATCAGGGGTCGGCTCTAAGCCCTTATTTGTTCTCTATGGCAATAAATGAAATTACGAAAGACATACCTACAGGAGGAGGTACCATGGTGTATGATGTTTGTTGATGATGTAGTTTTGGTAGGAGAAAATCGGAAAGAAGTTAATAATAGGTTGAATGAATGGATGTCAACCCTTAAAGGAAAGAGATTGAGAATTAATAGAAATAAAACAGAGTAGGTATATAGAGTATGACTTGGGAGGAAGATACCAAAAAGTTGAGGGTATGAGGATACCAATGACTATCAGTGGTGATGTAATAGGTGAAGTCAAGAACTTTAAATATTTAGGATCATTCCTACAAATAGGTATTTCAAAAATAAATGTAAAATTATGTATAAATGGATAAGGATTTTTCATATCGTGAGAGCAATGTAAATCGTATACTAGTTTACTAGCTCTTGCCCTTACAGGTAAATTTAAATTATAAAATTGAAGTATAAAATTGTGTAAATGTTATACATAGCTTTTCCCGTTAGCTTTATTTACTTTTATGTGAGTATCTACATTTTTTTTTTTGTTTATTTCTATTAGATGAATTTTATATTTATTTTGCAGTTCCTCACGGACAACCACGCAGTACGCACGTACGTTACGTTGTCTCTGAGCTGTTATGCAATATTCGTTAATCTTAACGGATTTTAATCTAATTTGTTTTCAACTCTACATAAAAATATATATACACAACAAACTTCAAACTCACACTTGCCAGTCACTTGCGCTGGCAACCATCGCATCTCAACTCTCAAGTGATATTATATTAAAATTAAATTAATTAATTTTATTAATTATTAAAATACCTACGCAAAATATCACTATCTATCATCCTCGGGCGCCGTCTACGGTGTACTGGACTACAGATTAGACCAGCGGTG